CTTGGTAATGAAACAGTTGGCACAGGTACCTTTGGTTTCATCGATCAATACGACAATATTGTGTACCACAAGCTCACGAGTCTCTTGGGCGAAAATGCCGCCTTGTTGCATCTTGCATTTGATGTCGCTTACAAAACTAATTATAAGTTGTATCTCTTGTCCTCTTCGATCGTCAACGAAAAGGCTTTGAATATGATCATAAAGGTCACCTTTGATGAGCAATGGACCACCATTAAGAATGAAGAAATCATTATGATTCCTACTCCGCAATGTAAAGCACATCGTCTTTTACCTACTCAATTCAATGTCTTTGCTACTGAACTCACTTCTTCCAAATTGTTAACCTTGTTTAGTCCTTAATGCTTTTTTTATGTTAAAGTTGTTTATGCAGTGCTTTCTCTTTTATTAGAATACAGTCAAATCTCTCTATAATAATCGCTATCATTGTAAAATTAATTTTTTAAAGTTAATTTATTATTAAAAATTCTTTTTATAATCACTAATTTATTGGTTGATGATTCATCAATCAATTAGAGAGTGATCTTAATGTAATATAACATAGGTCGCATATAGAAATTAAAGTTTTTAAAATGGAAAGTGCTTACATCTAAAGCCTTTTGTACTAAGATATGCGTATTTGAATCTCTAAGTAAAGTAATCGGCCAGCAAATTATAAAAAATATTTTGCTGATTATACGTATAAAATTCTATATAAGCAATAGTATTATTTATTTAGAATTTTATATTAGCGAATAAATATCTAAAGATTTACCAGGCTAATTTTTATGATTTAACCATCATTTGTTTCATATTGATAAGTTCTACACTTTTATATTAGTGCAAAAATGTTATAAATATAAGCATTATTGTGCTCGGAAAACTGCTCCATAATCCAAACTCTCGTGTAACCAACGATAGATAACCTTTCGAAATAGGGTGTTAGATTTGGCTGGTGGGTGATTAAGGCTTTTGGTTACTTAGGATCCACGAAGGCCTGTAGGGTAAGTCACGTGATCAAGGGTTTATAGTTTATGCTGGTAATAGTGTTAGTACGTATTTTTAGGGCTGTTAATCAGTCCGACTCAAACTCAGGTCCTTCGATCCATCCAAGGATCGGAGCATCTGATCTTTTTTAGGTTAGATCGTTGGATCATATGGTCCTATCTAATGAATTTTTCTTTTTTTTTATATAATTATTTACTGAATGATAAGGTTAAAAAAAAATTAGTTTACATTCATAACTATTAGCTACTATACTATTGTATTAAAATTCTGAATACAGTCGTCCTCCCTCCTATAGTAACTTTACATATAATCGCAAACTCTATATAATCACAATATTTATTTTAGTATTAAAAAACCCTCTATATAAGCACAAATATCTTATAATCACTATCACATTTTTTAAAATTTATTGAACGCTTTTGATAATAAATCTACCTCTTTATTGTCACATCTATATATAATCATAAGTAGTTTCTATATAGAAAAATCAAAATTTTATTAATTAAATCGACTTTTATGTAATAAATAAAGTTGTTCAGAAGGGCAAGTTTCACTTATTCTAAAATATTTATATAAATCTATTAACTTTTTGTTGTTACTTTTCTTCATTTTACGTATTTGCGAATAGAACTAAAAAAAATTTAATTTTTTTCTTTAGAAATGTAAAATAAAAAAAATGCATTAATAAAAAGTTTACTAATTTATATAAAAATTTTAGAATAAATGAAATTTGCCTTTCTGAACAACTTTATTTATTTATTTATTACATAAAAGTTGATTTGTTTAGTACATTTTTGACTTTTATATATAGAATTAATTAGAAATCATATATAAAACTTTTTTAAAAAAATTTGTATTTGATTTCTAATTAATGCTATATATAAATTTTGACAATGTACTAAACAAATAGACTTTTATATAATAATTATAGTTGTTTAAAATGGCAAATTGCACTTATTCTAAAATTTTTATAGAAATTAGCTAACAGATTAGGATGTTTCAACTGTGTAATTATAAGGAAGGATGATTGTATCTTATAAAAAGTATGAAAAACATGGTTTTAAAAACATTTATTAATTCAATGTAGCAAAATAATTTGAGGTTAAGATAACAAGTTAATACTTTATTTAAATTTAAGAATTTATTGATGAATTTAAAAGTTAAATTAATAAGTAACAAATCATAGCATAATTAAAATTATAAACATAAATACATATTTCTAAATACTATTTAAAATTAATTATCTAATACTTCTCAAATTATTTTATTCAGCTTGTAAATATAAAGATAATTTATTAATATTGATTAGGTTTACTAAAATTATAAACATAAATACTTATTCATAAATACATATTTCTAAATACTTATTTATAATTAATTACTTATAATTAATTACTTATAATTTAAACTTAATTTTCAAGACAACATTCTTATATGTATTTAAATTAATAAATTTTAATATTTAATAAATATTTTTTATTGATCTAATTATAATAATTAAAATTCTATTATATTAATAACTCTTTTAAATTTTTCAAGCACCTAGTCAAATAAAGTAAATTTCTTTAGCAGTTGCAGTAGTTCTGTATATAAATTAAATTTATAATTCTTTTAAAAGATTAATTAAATAGATAATAATAATTTTAATGCCTCTTGAAAATTATATATATATAATAACTTATCTATTTAATCTGACACCAATTGGTCCTATTTGGTTCTAACTATATTCAGTCTGGTTTGGTCTATAGACTAGTAATCTTTGGACCAAATTAGACTAGATAAACTAATTAACATCTTTAAGTATTTTATTATAACTAATTTAATATATTAGAACTTATTATTTAATAAAGTAAAATAAAACATAATGCTTTTTGAAGTTATTTTAGCTTTTATTTATATTATTTATTTTTGTTATTTACAAATATTATTTTATAGTTATTATTTATTAAAACTACTTAAAGTTATTTACAATTATTTAATATTATTAAAAATATATAGATGTTTTTACATCTTTTTTTTTATTTTTTATTAATTTTTTTGCATTTGAATATATGGGGTTAAGTCAATAGAAATCAAGCAAGTTTTTTCTAGGTAAATTTTTTTTAAACTTTAAGCAATAATAACTCAACAAAAACTTAATAAAATTTAATAAAAATTTTTTAAATAAATTCTACAAACTTATAGAATTTGTTTAAAAAAAATTATTGAATTTGATCAAGTTTTGGTTAAGTTATTAATGTATAAAGTTTAAAAAAAATTCAATAAAAATAATTTGCTTGATTTCTATTGACTCACCCCCATATATTTATTTTAATATTAAGATAAATATGTGCAGTCTAAAATTTTATTAATAGTATGTTTTAGCTAACAGCTATTCATATAATAACTATAGAGCTAATTATAAAAGTATATACAATTGGTTATTCAAACAACTTTAGTTATTATTTAATTTAAGTAGTTCACTCAAAGGTTTTACACTAGTTGCCCAAATCTAGTGCCTACTTGTTGGTTTTTTATTTTAAGCATTTTTGTTTATATAATTATTACTTACCTATTCTACTAATAATCTCAGTTAATACTAATAAAGATATATCATTGTTATAAAGTTTTTAAAGCAGTTCACTTATATAAAAAACTTTTAACTTTGCACTAAACCTACTAAAGCTTTCTGTATTTCATACTTATAGCTAACCTGATACTGCTTTTGTCTAGACTAGTACTTGCAATTAGAGTTAATTATTAAATTGCTATATCTTTGTAAAGTTTATACAAATTCTGATACCTATTTTTTTGATATCTTCTTCATCATCATTTATTAATTGCAACTCAAAATTAACAAGATTCTTCAGACTACTAATTCAGATAGTCTAATAGTATACTTATACAATATAACCTGTCAAAACTAATATAAAAGCTTTCTAATATGCATATCAGTTTAGACAGGTTATACTGTATATCCTTTTTCTTTAATAATTCTAGTAGCCTAGTTGATTTATGTTATAATATAATTAAATTATACATTTTGTTTTGTGTTTTGATTTGAGTTATTAGTATTTAATTTTAATAAAATAATATTATTATCAAAAGCTTTAAATAAGTTATTATTTTCTTTAAATATAAAAAATGTTAATTAAAAAGTATTTAAATTAGAAAAAAAATTTAGTTTTAAACAAATCAAATTTAGTATTAAATTCAAAATATAAAATTTAATAAGCTTCAAAATTAAATTTTTATTATAAGTTTTTTTATTAATAAAATAAGATGTTTGTTATTTTTAAAAATATAAAAATATCTTACACTCTATATGCAACTGCATATTAACCAAATACCTTACTATAACTAAACATAAATCCAACTTATCCTGATTCTTTTTTAATAGCTTTATGCTCAACCCATATTTATACAATATCTGTAATATTTGAAACATTTAACTGCAATATCACATTACTAATTTTCAACAACAAATTAATAATTCTAATATTCTTGGCACAACAACTAAGATTAGACTGCAATAACTTTAAAATAACTACTAATATCCTTCAACACAACCAACCTATTATTAATGAATACAACAAACTTACTCTTAATTTTAAAATTATTCAGTTGTTCTAACATCTTAATATTACAATCTCTGCCCATCACAACTAAATACTATACAAAATGCATGCCAACCAATTGAATCTATACTTATATAATACCAAAATACATTAATTTTAAAAAACAATTAAAGAAACCTAATGTTCTGTATTTAGAGCAACTATGTACTGCTAATAACAGCACATTACTTAAATGGCAATATCTTTCACTAAGACTACATCAACTAACAAAAAGAAAACAACCTTTATAGTTTACTTCTCTTAAAAACAAAATTATATTAAATAAATATTACAGAACTATCTTATCTTACTTTCAATTATCTGGTACTAACCTTTTTGTATACAATATATATTTTATTACCAAAAAACAAAAACCTTGACTTTTTATTATTCCAATAATAAAAAAATTATTATTAGCAAAATTTACAAATATATTACTGCTTCTAATTTATTCTTGATTATATATTGGAAATCTAATATTAATTTAAATAATAATTAATATTATTCACTTCCATCTATTGAATATAAACTATGTACAAAATGTTATCTTAACTCAAATAGAATTAACCAAATATGCACTATTAATATATCTACAATTATCTTTTCATTATTTCTAGCTAGAAAAATCTTCAATAACCTTAAACTCAATGCCAATTACATTAATTTTATATACTCAACAGTTATTAAACACCCTTTATATATACCTTCTATACTTTCTAATATTATTATATACAACTTTAGTATTTTAAAATTTTTTAA